GTGGGTCACAGGTCGAAAACCTGGAACATTCTATCTTTTACAGATCACGCATTCGGTTATGGGGAATTTAAAAGATGTCATTCTCCGGCAGCCACCTCAAACTCTGAAATTAGCTCAGCGATGAATTCTGTGGGCACCTGCAGTTGTTACATTTATGATTTTTCAGTCTACAATCTGTATTTCACATACTGTTTTTGTTAGATTTAGTCAATTTGCCAATTTTTGTCATGTGATCGGTGAAACAATTTTTGTGATGTGGGAAATAAATGGCAAGAAACAAATGCCAGTGTTCGCATGTAAAGTCAATTCAATAACTAACAAACAACTATTTCAACCTTGCTAATATATAATAAGTACGTTACTGCACTGTACTCCGTTAGCATTTCTAACATATGGATGCTAAGCTTTTATTTTCCCTAACTGTAGGCCATAACTGAACACAAACATACATTGGCAAATTAAATAAGAGAATTGAGCGACAGAATAATAATAGTAACACGTCGGTTGTACTCATAAATATATGCAAATCACACTTCATCTCAAGCCGATGAACTGCTATCTAGTGTAAGTGGTTTGACATCAGGTGAATGGACTCAACACGATTGCATAACAAAATCAATATCAGTTACTCATATTTTTTGGGGAGAGATGTTGAGTGGCTATATTTGTATGAAGGACAATGTTCCTATATGTACTCCGAGTTCTAGCATATCGTAAAAGCTGGGAAATGTATATACGCCAGAAGAGAATGTTTTTGTAAAAGTGTAGAATATTGGTTTAACTGAAGGTAGAATTAATGGGCTATATAATCACAACTTGAGCAGGACATCACTTCTGCCAAATCATTCGATTCGGGAAAGAATTTGTTTCCATTAGAATGTCGAAATTATTTTCAAAGGGACCAATTGTTTATAGGCATTCATGTTTTCCCATTTTGCTTGTCAATATCTTCTTTCGCCACAGGCCACAGTGGAGTTGTATAGCTGTGCTTTATAAAGAACTGTCTTATGTAGTTTTCAAATAAATTGTGGACTGTTGACTATTGAGTAATACAACTTGTCTAAATTATAGGCATGTTGTGGTTTACGACCCAATCATATTTCAGGTTATATTGTGTAGCGGATTTGCGGCTGTTGCGAGATTGAGTGTTTGTATGACTAAACTTTTACTAGAACGAGGAAACGTCTTATTTTTGTCTGATTTCTTGTTGCTGGGAGTAGAATTAACATAAATTGTAGAGTATGCGGAAAACATAAAGTATATGCAATGTGAGCCCTTTTTTTTATAATTTTCATGTTTCGAGATGTCATCAGAGCCTTTACCATGTCATCGGATATGTTTTCTGTTTCTTTCAAATTCGGTTTTTGTTATATGAGGTATATGAGGTATAATCTGGAACAGTTGATACCCCCTTTTCTAGGTTTACCCATTGCAATTGTCTAGCAAACCGATTAGCATAGAATGGTTGGCTACACCACCGATTGTTATTCTATTGTACATTCACCAATTGTGATTTGTCATTTTGAGACTGTAAATGCATACACGGTTGAGGCCTTCTACCACTGGGATCTTCTTTATCGGTCTCTTCTGGTCAAGCTTGCTTACTATGTTTTGTTTTGAAAACTACCACAATATGTAGATGATTTCACAGAATAATGTATATTCCCGGAGATCAGTCTGTATGGTCACAATAGAAGCTCTTCTTTAAATGTCTCTTCTTTGTAAGTAACAAGCAATTGGTTTGCCGTCGAGTATTGCTGGAATAGCAGTCTCGTCTGAATTCACTGTTCATCATCGGCAATTGCACGTTAATGTTTTGACTTTTTTATTTTCAAAGAAAGGTAATTACAATTACTGTAAAATAGTAATATTTCAACATGTTACTTTTGTGATAAAAATGTAAGTCCATCCATAATTAGTAGTTGTTTTGGGTCTTAATGCTAGTGATAAATAACGCCCAACTCCACTTTTCCTATTTTTTATTTTGAATGAATGGTGCAGTACCAATTCTCAGTTCAGTCACCCAACATTTTTTTCAAATTGTTGACTGAGAAATACAAAATATCTCCAATCGGCTAATTGCTAATACTTGATAACCCAACACTTTTTGAAAAT